GACCCCGTCCCCACCGGCTTCTTTGCTTCTTGGCCTGCTACCAGGGATTCAAGTCATCAATCGCACACCTTCTCCTACAGGGGATCCAGGGGCCCCCAGCAAGGAGGCCTCAGGATAAGGCCTGAGCTGCTGGAGAAACCATGCTGGAAGACTTGCAGTCAGGCTCCCCGGGGAACTTCCAGGAATGTGAGGGCAGGGAGGGTGGGGCCTTTCTCCAGCTGGGGTTTGGAGCCTCCAACATTTTTCCTAAAAAGCTACTTCAGGGTTGTCAGGGCTCAAGAATGTTTGGTCACTACGGTGGGATCACCATTTCAGGCTGTGACCGTGGATGTAGGAACTATCATTCCCAACATAGGACAAGTTCTATTGAGTTTTGCCAGTGACAAAAGTTAATCATCAGCACTGTAAAAGCAAAGGAGTGTAGGGAAAGGTAGAGATTGTAAAATTCTTCTGTAAGTGAGGCTGCTTGAGTGGGGGAGGCAGGTCAGGCTGAGATGCTGCCCAGAGAGCACAGTTCTCTGGTTCAGCCCTGGGCGGGAGCCCGCAGGGAAAGAGACAGGGCCTGCAGTCGGACTTGCGGCAGTCCCTGGGCCTGGCAGGCCGGCACTGAGCCGCCATCGGAGACTTTGAGAACTGCAGCCAGGCTCCGGGCTTGGCCTACAGCTCTGCAGCTCCTGCCTGCAGCTGTACCACACAGCCACGGAAGGTGCAGGGGCCAGAGAGGACCTGAATGTTGGGTGTCCCCGGCCTGCACGGGAGGGGAGCCCAGAAAATCACCCACCTGTCTGATCGTAGGATGCCCACGCCAGGTTCTCTCCACACTGGCCGCGACTGGATTCCGGACTGTGCTTGAGGATCCTGGTGCTGGCCAGCGCCTTCGAATACCTGCCAAGGGCCCCGTGCTCTCTCAGAGGGGTGCAGTCCAGGAAGTACCCTGAGCCTAAGTCCTAACTGATGTGGCTGAGCTTTCTCCCCTGCCTGGACTGGCTGAGGAAACTGGGAAACGTCTCATCTGCATCTCTTCTGAGCCCCCCAGTAGCCCCATTTTACAGAGGAGCTAACTGATGCTCATTGGAACAAAGGCCCCACCCAGGTAAGGGCACCGTGGTTATCTAGTGTGACTGTCTACCCGCAAACGCCGCGTCCCTCCAGCCACCCCAGCATCCCTCCAGCCACCCCAGCGTCCCTGGTGACTGCAGCAGCAGCAGTGCTGGTTGGGCTTGAGCCTCCCTAGGGTGCTGGGGGACTCACTGCTGAGCTTCCCGGTTGAGCTTCTTGCAGAGCTTCAGTGGGGGGACGCCATGTTGCTGCCGGTACTCGTTGTGGGCCTGCAGAACCTCATTATTAAACTGCTTGGAAGCTGCAATTTCAAAATGGAGAATGTCTTGACTCACAGAAAAGACCCACCAAATGACCGGCAGCGGAATGCCCAGTGACACTCAGTTCAAACCTCAGGCCACATGGATAAGTTGTTGTTCCCCTTCGGGACCCCAGCCAGTGGGCTGCTCCACACCTCTGCTGACCCCACCCTGCCAGCTCTGCACACCCAGGGGCCTGCAGGGCCACACAGGCTCTTGACCCAAGGCAGTGGGAGGCCATTGCATGGGACCAGGAAATGAGTAGAGAAGAGCTGTGCTTTTGAAAGCCCCTGCTGGCTGCTGGGGGGAGGGTACAGAGCAGATATTGGGGGGCTGGGCAGTGAGCATTGGGCTTTTGAAAGAAAATGTCTGAAGGAGTCTGGGTATCTTAGATTGGGCCTGTGGTCTGTGATGGGCTTGGGAAGGGCTGGGGCGAGGCTGGGGGGTAGTTCTGGGCCCACTCCAGACCTGGCTGGAGTGGAGGGGTGCCGGTGGAGTGGCAAACCAGGAAGATAAAGGGACAATGAGGGAAAAGGAGCAGGGAAGCACAGCCGTGATGATCTATCCTCCATGCTCCACCCATCATCCTTTGCTCATCCCTGCAGCCACCTCTCTACCACCGACTTTTCTTTGGCCAGCAGCAGTATCCTCCCAACTCAGTCTGTCCATCTATTCATGTGCCCTCTGGGGATGAATCGATGGGTACCTCCTCTGGGCAATATACACAGAGGACACATAAGAGAGGGTCATATGTTGGGTGCCAGAGACCCAAGGCTAATCAGCCATGTTCTGCCCTCAACAAACACACAGAAGGGAGTTGTCAGCCTCATAAACAGGTACTAGTAAATAGTGTGATAAATGCCAAAGTGCTGATGAAATGCAGGTCAAGAGGGACTCAGAGAGCAAACAACCTGTCATGAGGAACCAGGAAGAGGATGAGCTCTGATTTGAGGCCCCAAAGACATCTGGACAGGAGCCAGCCAGGCTAAGATGGTGAAGGCACAGAGCATCAGCTTATGAGGCTGGGAATTACTTTCAGTGGAAATGGGAATGAGTTACGAGTGAGGCCACAGGGGGCCCAAACTGAGCTAGCCCCATTTGGCAAGGGCCTGTCCCCAAGGCCTAGCAGTGGTCAAGGCAGGAAGGGTGTCCACCAGAGGATGGGAGAAGCGCCCGCCCTCCCACCGCCTCAGGTCAGACTCACCGGCTGCCTCTTCACCGTCTTTTCATCTTAGTGACTATGGAGACAGCCCAAGAAAATTCTTCTTCCCTCCTCACCCAGATCCCCTATATCTCCTGGGCCTTCAAATTAAATCCCAATGGGTCTCTGAAGAGACCTGAGGGGAAGACCCTCAAGGAGCTCTGGGCCAGATGCAGAGATGAGGTGAAGGTAACTGTGGGTCATGCCAGCCACGGAAGAGTAGTCCAGAGGGTTTCTGATGAATTGAGTGAGTGGTACTGATGAGGATTCTGGGCCCTTGCAGGGAAGTTCAGTGAGGCCCAGCCACAGCCACGTGGGGTGGGATGGAAGGTGGGAGGCAGACACGGGGAGGTACTGTTAACAAGGATATGAGAGTGAAACCGTGGCCATGGTGGCTGAGCATGAGTCTTTGGGTCTTGGCCAAGTTTAGTGGAGGGAGGTGAGTTTAGTGGACTGGTGAAGGGGACACAGTTTCTGATTTGCAAGATGAAAATGTTCTGGAGCTCTGTGTCACCGCCTTTGTATACACCAAACACTGGCTGAACTGTACATTTAGAAAGTGGTAAAGTGGGAAGTTTTATATTATGTGATTTTAACCACAATAATAAAGAAATCAGATTTAGCATGAAAATGTGGCAGTTAGGATAACAGAATTATAGGGGCTTTCCAAGAACGACTCAGGTGGACATGAGGCCGCTGATGTGTGATGAGTCACAAGGCGGCCTGGCTTCAGCACTGGCCAGCATCCAGCTGAATGCTTAACCCAGCCCAGGTCTGCTCTGTCTCAGGAATGACACCTGAAGTGACTTCCAAAGCGGCAGGGTAAAGGGCGAGTTATGGGCTCTTATACGAACGAATTAACCAAGAAACAGACAAATAACCGAATAAGTCCCTTCTAATCCTGAGGCCCTGTAAGGGCCCATTAGGACTGATAAAAGGAGACTAGAACAGACCCCACTCCAGGAGCACACAGCTGCTCTTAAGAGACAAAATGTGGGTACACACCTCAGGATGGCAGGTGGTGCCCATCTAAGTGACAGGCAAGGCCAGGCACACCCTAATGTCCCTTCCAGCTCCCATGTCCCAGGCAGGTCACGGTGGGACCCGGGGAGACGGGGGAAGGGCACATCCCGAGCAGCGGTGACCACACAGATGTAGCCAGGGAGGCTCCCTGGAGGTGTTCCTAGATCGGGAGGCCTGAGGTCAGAAGGCAAAGGGCACATCAAGATCAGGGTGGAAGGAATCGTCTGGTGTATCCCAGGGCTGTGAGGAGGAAGTGGAGCTGAGGGGAAAACAGTTTAATGGCTGCCCTGAGTGCCACAGAGCTGTGGGCCCTGTAGTCTCCTTGGCAGAGCAGGACGATGAAGCTACTCAAAACTAGGTCACTACATTCCCAGAATGTGGGAAGTAAAGAGAAACAAAAGCAAAAGTTCTGACTCCCAACCTAAGCTCAATGCCCAGAAGCCAAAGCCCCAGGAGGGCCAGTTCCTGGGCCAGGATTTCCAGGAAGGGGTGAGGAGGGCTGTCTGATAATCAGAAAGGGAGCCCTCTCTCCCCACCCCCCCACCCCCGTAGGGAGCCATGGGGCCTCATGACCACACCTCTGGTGGACCCCAGAGTCCACACCTCCCACAGTGGCAGGCCAGCCCAGGTAGCTCCTCTGAGAAGGGCCTCAGCCTTGGGGAGGTACGAATCAATGGGGACTACACCCAAAAGAGGCACACCCAATTTCTGTAGAAACCCCAGGAACACTGATAAACATAAGGGGAAAAAACCTTCAAAGAAAACTCACCCATCCTTACATTAGGCCAGGAATTATGTCCTTATTTTGTAGGAAGGTGAACACCATGCTGGGTCTGGGCATGATTTTATTTACTTTTTACTACCTTTTGTGAGCACTTCCAGTACTGGCCCCATCTTTTTTTTTTTTTTTTTTCTTTTTGATGAGTAAACTGAGGCTTAAAAAAGGAAGTATCCTGCCTAGACCCCCACAGCTGGCCCAAATGTTGACCCAGCAGGAGAAAACTGAGTTTCAGGGGAAGCCCTATGCTGGTTCGCAGTCCACAAGCACAGTGGCAGGGGACAAAGGAAACTAGAGACAGAGGGGGTCGCCATGACAATCTGTGTGTGGGGGGGTCACCTCCTGGTCTGATGACCTAGGAGGAAGAGCCGGCCATAGAGAGTTGGAGCTGCCCTCAAATCTCTGAGGGGAAAGAAGAAGAGGAAGGAAGAGAAGCAAAGAAATAAGGTTTCTCAAGAGCCTCTGTGCCAAGCCCTTTGTAGACAGACCTGCCTGAGAGGCCCCAGAGGAAAGCCAGAGTAGGCCTGGGGCTGAGGTAGAAGAAGGAGCCCACTGGCCATGCACCCTGGGCTGAGAGGAGGCTGGCCATCCCTGCTGTTAACAGAGGGTGCAGGCATCTAGGGGGGCTGAATTGGGGGCTCCTGCTCTAGGGCCTCTGGGGCGAGCTTCAAACTGCAGTATAAACTCTGAGGAGACCGGAGGCCTCCTCCCTCCTGGCAGTTGGCTGGGACAGGCCCTCTCAGGTTTCCTCTTCTACTGTGGCCTCCCTGTGCTTGGGCAGACTCTCACTTCTGCCTTCCCCAGACTCCCCACCAAAGAGGCCCAGGATGGTCAGGGCCCAGGGCAGTTATTAGACTTGTCCCTTCTGTCCCCTTGGCAAAAGGCTAGAAAGCAACCTTTGGGGCAAAGCTGGTTTTGCTAGATTATCAGGAAAAATAAAAACATTGATTTGAAAAAGAAAGAATGCTTTTCAAATGGGTACCTCCTGTTCTTTTAGCCCAAGTTCAAATTCAAGAAGCACATTCCAGCTAGGCTTTTTCCTAGCTGTATGATCTTAGACAAGTTGCTCAATCACTCTGTACCTCATTCCCCCCAAATATAACATGGGGATAATAGTATCTACCTCACATGGTTCTTGTGAGAATTGGGTAATCTATGTAAGTGATTTAGAACAGTTCTGGAACATAGAGGATAGTTATCAATTAATTATTAGACCCTTTCACATATGGCTATGGGAGAAGCTGCCCAGTCAGCTCCCCGTGCTAATTTTAAGGGGAGCAGAAGTGGTATTTAAGTTGATATTGGATAACCTCTTTCAACATATCTAAGTTTGCACATTTGCTGAGTGAATGAATGAGTAAATAAAGGAAGGAGACGTTCACGGCAGCACTGGAAAGGGTATGTGCTTCTTGGGAAGAACATGTGAATTGCCCAAGGTCACAGAGAGCACCCTCTTTAGATCCAGAGCTAAGAACTTCTCTCCCTTCACCCCCTTCTCCAGTCTCATGTTGTATACACTTTCCATTTCACATACATCCTTAACAGCAAAAACCCCTTGCTGTCCATGAAGAATTGCTGAGTAGCTTACTGGAACAGGGTGGTCAGAGAAGGATTAGCCCCAGGCTGTCCCTTTGCAAACAAACAAGAGTGATAATAGAGGGTGCAGGGCTGAAGGAAACAGGGCAGGGTGACTCAGGTCTGACTCAGGTCCGCAGAGGCAGTGTTTTCTCTGGGACCTCTCTCAGAGCACACTGAATCCCACCCCCTAACAGCCCCACCCACCCATACCAATCCCCCACCCAGTTCCAATCTGCGCAAGTAGGAAGAAGACACCTGAGGTTTTTCAACATGTTTTCAAAACAGGGAAATCCCTTCTCTGAACCTTTATTTTCTTCAGTAAGGTCAACAGAGGGAAAAAGGACTGCTGGGGCCTGACCTGGCCTGTAACATCCCCTGTAAAGGTAAAGGGGGTGGCCCAGTAGAAAGTTCCTGAGCTTGTTGGTCCCTAAAGCCTGTGGTCAAGGGAATTCAGGTCAGGGTAACAAAATTCTTATAGATAAGCCAAGAGTGTGTGGTGAGCCCCAGGGGACTGGAGTCCTGGCAGATGGGGAGCAGGTGGGGAGTGGGCCAGGTGATAGAAGGAGTATTTTACAGATGGGAAATAAGAGCCAGATTCAGGGTTCAGGTCCTAGGTTTGTAACAGACTCCAGAGGAAAGGTGGAGGTTCCAGATTATCTGCCCCACCCAAAGGAGGGTGGAGATAAGCAGGGAGAAGAATCTGGAAAGGATTCAGAACAGGAAGGAAGCAGGTTGGAGAGCTAGAAGGAGACCCGAAGGAAGCGCATGGAGCACATGTGAAGAAGTGGCTCTTGTTTCTTGGCCCTGTGAAGAAGTGGCTCTTGTTTCTTGGCCCTGTGCTGGCTGAAACATATGTGGGTGAGAGACCCTTGGGGAGGTTGACTATGGCAGCATTTATCTTGATTTTGCTCTTTTCCTCCCAGACTTGTCTGGCCATTTCTGACCCTTTTCTATGGGTCCCTGCCAGAAGGTGCTTTAGGAGTGTGGCGGCCTTTCAGGTCTTGCTTTGGGCCAATCCCTTTTGGATAGGCTTTTACCCACGAAGGGGTGGGTAACTTTGGGTGTTTGATTTAGAAACTATATTCTTTGTCTTTTCTGTATTGCACACCCATTGTATTAAAGTTCATTTCCATTAAAGGTCTTACAGGTTTTGTCTTGAGCAGCGGATGTCAAAACCTACTTAGACCAGCGGGTTTTGAGGTTCGGGTGCCCCTCTCCCTGCCCGGTTACGGATTATCCACTTACTCATCAAGGTGTGTACTTGGGCTAGGTCCTCAGCCAGCCTCCATAAACCTAGGAAGTTAATAACCTCTTCGCAGGGTTGTTATAAAAGTAGGTAACAAATAAAAGCTCTAGCTCCAAGACTGGTATACAGTAGGAGCTTAATAATTGGTGATCACTATTACCAGAATCTAGAGGTTTCCACTTTGCCCAAGGGTATTGTCTTCCTCTGCCCCATCACACTTGCTGCGAACTGTCTCTGGGCAGTGAAACCAGCGTTGAGGCGGAAGCTGGAAGCATGATCGCTGCCCCAAGGTTCTTCTGGGGTTTCAGCTGTGTCCGTTAAGTGATGCTTTCTCAGAAGCCTGGGGAATATCTGATGTTAAAGATTCCTATGTCTAGATGAGGAAACTGAGGCCCAGAAGAGGCAATGACTGGCTCCTGGTGGTCTTTATGGGGCCTGGTAAAGCCCCTGTGTGGATACACTTCCCGAGTGCTGCCCTGGGGCCATGACAACCTCAGGCTAATGGCCTGGGACCTCAAGATTGGCCCTGTGCTGAAAGACCATTGGATTTAGGTCACCGAGAAAAGTCACTTTTACTTGGGGTCCCTTAGGAGAGCCACGTATTGTGATGGAAGCTCATCGTCTTTGAGGGAGACAAAGCGTGTGGTTATGAGGGAGATAGCCAAGGCCAGCATGCTGAAAGGCGCCTGAGTATATGGGGGGAATGGAAGGTGGCGAGACAGCACCTGATTCAATCAGCTCTAACTTGCCTCTGCCACTGACCCCTCTGAAACCCGCCCGACCTTGCATCTCCAGTCCTAGAAGGTGTCACCACCTTCCTGAGCCCAGATGCACAACACTGGCCCCGCCCTCATTCTTAAGTCCCTCACAAAGTTGGCCCACGGCTACCATCCCCCAACCCAGTCCTCCCAGTCCAGTTTCTGCTTTCTGTTTTCTAAGGAGCCAGGCAGTGCCTCTCTACCTCCCGATCAGTTCTGTAATTCATGTCACCATCCAAGTGGACACGCCAGAGCCAGACCCCAGGCCCTTCATAGCTTTGTGCAAAGTGGACGGATGCAAACTGGAGAAGGGACAGGTGATGAAAAGAGAAGAATGAGTTCACAGCTGAATATTAGCAGTTCTGGAAAACTGTTTCTTAGGGAAGGAGCCAGAAACAACTGGTTGATTCAAGGTAACGTTGGAAAATGTGTGTACTTTACAAAGGAGTTGATTTCCCAAGCAGGAAGCTCTAGATCTTCTCTCACATCTGTAATGCTAACTACATGACACCCCCATGTCACCTTCTCATACTGTGAAGGACCCTGGGCCACTCTAGGAGCTGTAGAGGGTAAGTAAAGACTCTTTCTATCGGCCCTCCCTGCTCACACAATGGGTTAGGACACAGCACTGCAAGCTAGCTGTGGGCTAGCCACCTCAGTGCGATTAGCTCCCCCACCCCAGGTGACCCACATAGGCAGCAGACCTCTCCTGGCCAGCCCGCTGCTCCCCTCAGCAGTGTACTTTGTCGATCTGCCTGTTCTGCTCCCCACTCTGTCTCTGGTGAATTCTCACCACCCCTGCACCTCTGGCCTGTACCCCAACTCTGTATACATAAATAAATAGATAAATACATAAATAAATAAATCTTAAAAAAGAGAGAGACTTCCTCAAGATCACAAAACCAGGCCGGTTGCCACAGGAAAGGCAGTTAGAACCAATGCCAGAGAAGGCCCCTTCCAACCCTGGTACCTCATGAGAACAGATGTTGAGAAGAGATTCCAGAAGGGACACAGCCATTCTCACCTGAGGCTGACCACCCCAACTTCCCCATGAAGCAGCACTTCTGGATTCTGTGCAACAGCTGTGCATAGCACCCAGCTGACACAGACATGGCCGCCAGGAGCGAGGGGCTGGGAAGCAGCATCCCATGCTGACTGCAGGGAGGGCTGAAACAAAGAAGGCATTGGGTGGGGCCTTCCCCTTGGGCTTAGTGGGAGTCAGGGATGGGCTCCCAGCCCAGGAGCGGAGTCTTGAAGGTTGGGGAGAATTTTCAGCTGGAAGAGGCAGAGTGGTGCTGGTGGTGAGCACTGGGAAGGGAAGCCGGTAAGGAGCCAGCACCGGCCTCAGGATGGCCTGAACATAGAGTGAGATATGGGGTGATGACCAGCTCCCAGGGCGGGGTTAGTGGTGGCAGGAATGGAAGCATGTGTACTCATTCAACTGCAGGCAGGGGCAGATGGCTTGAGGGTGTGAGGAAAGAGGCTGCTGTTTTATAAAGTTCATCTGAGCAGGGTCAGGATGGGCCCACTCCTCAAAGATAAAAGTGAAAGCCAGAGTGGGATGTTTTTGCCCAAGTGGAGTCAGACTGAGCCTGGCACAAGGCCTGGCACCCCAGGGACACTCAGGGGAGGAGTGAGTGAAGGAAGAGAGATGCTCAGGGTTGCCCTTAGGAGGACTGACCAGGCCAGCCGCTCCGCAGCGTGAGGTGCTGTCACTGCTGGGTGGTTTTTCCCAACTCTAACTGTCCAGAAACAAAGCAAAAGCCACACCTTGGCCGGCGCAGAGCGTTGATCCCACCAGCGCCTGGAAACCCTCCCTGACGCAATCTCTGACTCGCAGACAGGGGACCCTCCTCGGTCTTGCCTTCCTCCCACTCTCCCGGGGCTAACGGCTTCCAGGCTGCAGTGGAAACAGCCCAGCTGAGCCTCCGCGCACTCGGCCCTGAGCGCTCCTCCACCCCGCACCCCGACTCCCGCGGCGCAGCAGCAGCAGCGAGCCTTCTGCGCTCGGGCGGCTGCCGAGCTCCTCGGGATCCAGCCCGCCGCGGGGGACCACCCCGCCGCCGGGCATTGCCCTCGAGGCCTGAGATTTCCAGCCATGCCCGCCCCCTGCCCGGCGCGCCTGAGGACTCACCTGACTTGCCCATGGCCGGCTCGGCGGGCTCTCCGGTTCCTGCTGCCGCTGCGCTGCGTCCCCTCACAAGCCCCGCGCCGCTCAGACGGCCGAGGCCAAGGCCCGGACAGCCCCTCCCCTGAGCCGCCCGGCCCCCGCCTTATAAGGCAGCGGCAGCTGCAAGCTTAGAAGCTGGGGGCCACCCCGCCGGCTGCCTGGAGGAGGCGCCGCGCGCCACGCGCTAGGGGAGCTCTCCACGCCGTTCCTCAGCACTCTCCCGGAAAGGGGCCCCTAGCGACTGTCGGGGGTTCTCCAGGGGCGCACGGACCTCGACCCACCGGTTCCTCTCCGGATGGGAGACAAAGGATGCATAAATAACCCCGAACTGCCCACCCGTTTGGGGTAGCAAGCAGGGACGTAGTTTTGCCCTCACAACTCGCGTGGGCACAGCTGGGTGCTCTTCCCTCCTCGGTCTGACCCCCATACCTCGAGCTCCAAGTGGCCATTTTCCCCTCTTCAGTGACACCGGGCGCAGTAGAGCACCTCAGTTTCCCCAGAACACTTTTAGCACAGCCCAGGTTGCAGTTGGGCACTCCTTAATCCTCAAGGAGGCTCCAGCACCCGCACTCTTATCTTATAACAGGGTGGCCCCTAGGGAAAAAGGGGAAGTTCCAGGTTCCCTGCCCCACCCAGAAGGAGGGTGGAGCTGAGCAGAGAAAAAGGAGAGAAGAGAAGGTATCAGGGGAGGAAAAGAAGAAGGAAGCAGGATGGAGAGCCAGAAGGAGACCTGAGGAAGCCACATGGAGCAGCAAGCATGTGATGAAGAAACCGGGCTTGTTTCGTGACCCTGGACTGGTTAAGACAGATGTGGGTGAGAGACCTGTAGGGAGGTGACTATGGCAGTGTTTATATTGATTTTGCTCTTTTCCTCTCAGATTTGTCTGGCCATTTCTGACCCTTTTCCATGGGTCCCGGCCAGAAGGTCCTTTCGTCTTGTGGCAGCTTTCAGGCCTTGCTCTGGGCCAGTCCCTTTTGGGTTGACTTTTGCCCATGAGGGGATGGGTGACTTCAGGTGTTTGATTTAGAAGTTATATTCTTTGTGTTCTGTATTGTATATTTACTGTATTAAAGTCCCTTTTCATTAAAGTTTTATATGTTTTGTCTTGATGCAGCGGATGGCAGAACCCACTTAGAGCAGGCAGGTTTGGGCCTTCAGGGGTGTCCCTCTCCCCCTGTCCTGTAACAATCTCTCCAACTGTCCTCAGGCCCTGTCAGATCACCCCTGGAATTTGACTCGACTCCCTAACTTCTGTCTCGTCAACTCCTTAACTTCATTCTGTGCTCTAGTCCAATGGCCCCACTGCCTGCATTTCCCGCCAACTTGCCTTTGCTCAAGTTGTTGCATCAGCCTGGAGTGTAGCCCGTCTCTGTTCACTCAGTTACTCGCCACCCTCAGAGCCCATGGGTCCCTTCAGTTCCCAGAAGCCTGTCCTCGTCTAACTTTGGTAGCAGTGGTCAGATTGAGGAGGCTTAGTCTCCTCAGATTCCCACCCCCTATGAGAAAACACTTGCATGAAGATGATGTTGTTTTTTAGAGTTGTTAGGTTTGGAGTGCTGGGTCCCAGGGTTCACTCTGGGAAAGGTTTCTCCAGAGCTCCCCTTTCAGCAGCACTCAGCGAGATTCTCCATGGCACAGAGACATTAGTTATATTTAAAAGAACAGGCTTATTAGGGAAAGAGAGAGAAGAGTAAAAGACTCTTGTATAGACACAAGTGGGCAGGAAGAGCTGCTCTGAAAGGGATGGACAAGTTTGCTAAGAGAGAGGCCTGCACGGCTGCAGGTGGGCGGCCTTGAGGAGAGCTGCCTCTGCTGAGGGAGGCCTGAAGCCCAAGCAGGTGCAGGTCAGGCTGGTGCAGGTCAAGGCAGGCAGGAAGCTGCTGCCCTGAGGAGGGAGGGAGGGAGCTGGTGGGAAGCAGCCCCCCTCCCCCCTCTCCGCACAGGCACAGGTGTGCAGAGGGACTGCGGGCCCCCTCTGGGGGGGACAGTGCTGGGTTTTATCATCTTCTTTCCCAGGGAGGGGCTCATCTTCATGAGTGGATGTTTGTTCCTTAGTCCCCATACCTTCATCTTCAGGTGACACTCCCTGCAACAGTTTGACACCTGCCTGGGCCTCCTGATCTGGTCACTGAGGCCTAAGGGTCTTGGTTTCCATATCTTGATTAATGGCTTATGCTAATCCCTTCTGCCTCTACCACTGTGTGAAAAGGTTCCTGACCTTGTAGCATCCCCTCCAACCTTTCTATTCCTATCCTTACCACATAGACATGGGGGCCTGGGGGGGGGGGTTGGTCAATGTGAGATTTGCCAGAGTAACGCCTGACTGGGCAACCCACTGCATAAACCTGACTCCAAGGAAGCTAACTTAAGACCTATCAGTAAATGGACAGCAGGATAACTGACCTGCTGGCTGTGAGGGTGGGATGTGCAGTCTCAAGGACATCAGATGTCCCATGGGGCTACAGGAGGACTGGGCCCTGTCCAGTCCACTGGAATACATTGACTGTATTTCAGAGCTTCCAAACAGGTCAGACTGAACCGAGCTGCTACCCACTCTGAGTCAAAAGGGGCCTCTGGCACTAGATGGGCACCTAGTCCTCTATGTTCGGTCCCTCGCCCCTTTGGCCAGCAAGTCCCCCATTGAAATGACCAGTAGGAAGAATTTCTGTCACCACTAGAATCTCTTGAAGGCTGTTTCCACTGCAACCAAAACTTCAAAGCCTAGGCCAGAGACTGCTGAATACAGGGGAGCCACTTCTATCTGCAGAGGGGATTGGGGGCCCACCAAGATTTGCTGACACCTGAGTGGTGAGAGGAGAGGCCAGGTGGGGGACAAAATCCATATCATGGTATATTTGGATTCTGTGTCAGACCAGCGGCTGCAGGCCTGAGAGCTGGCCAGGCAGCCAGCACATGCCCACGCTGTGTGGGCTGTTTGGAGGGGAGTCACTGCTCAGCTGGGCGCAGGCAGAGACAAGATAAATAGTAATAAAATTCAGACACAAAGTGTTTGCCTCAAGTTATCATTATTTTTTGCTTTATGTCCTACTTAGAATTTCTTACTGGCTCCAAGACTATGAAAACTTAGTTTTCTTCTAGATTTTTTTAAAAAGCAATTTTAGTTCTTGGCCCTCTCTGGTGGTGCAATGGGTTAAAGCACAGGACTGTGAAGTTTGCCACAGCTGCTTCAGCAGGAGTTCCCTGGCCAGGGAAGTGACCCACATGGCGTAGCAGACCTCTCCTGACCCTCCTGCTGCTCCCCTCAGCAGTGGACTTGGTCCATCTGCCTGTTCTGCTCCCCACTCTGTCTCTGGTGAATCCGCTCACCAACCCTGCACCTCTGGCCTGTAACCCAGTTCTATATACATGAATAAAATAAATCTTCAAAAAAAATTTTAGCTCTTATTATTATGATTAAGATATTTGGGTTTTGATTATTTTTGATTATGGTATATGGTGTTCAGTTACACTGCTGTTCTTTCTCTCCAGTTGCTCCAGTTTTATCCTTGAAAAGATTATTTTTTCCCAATATACATGTGGGCTCTACTCCATTGATCTGTATACATATAACTCTACACTATCACTCTTTCTAGATGATTACAGCGTTATAGTAAGTCTTGAAGGCAGGTAGTAGTCCTATTCGTTTTTTTTCTTTTTAAGGTGGTTTTGTCCACTTTGCATTTTCATATAAATTTCTTGTAAATTACTGCAAAACAAAGGGGTTTTGATTAGGATTGCTTGGAATTTACATATAAACTTGGGAAAACTGACCTCTTTACAATATTGAACTTGTTGACCCATCAGCATGTATCACTTCATACTTACATGATCTTTAATTTTTCTCAGCTGTTTTGTGAGGTGCTGCTCTGTGGTTAGTTTCTATTCTTCTGTCTTATATATGCTTTTTCCAATTTGGGGGGTCACCCAAATAGCTCTACTTTTCAAGTAACCCCAAAACAGCAAATGTCTACTATAGCTTCCATTTCAGAAAAGGGGGTTTGTCTCTGTCCTAAACGTTACCCCAGAATGTGCTACACCCTGTGACTCAGTCCTTCTCAGTATCTCAGTTCTTCCAACATTATGGATTCTCTCCTAGACCGGTTTGGAACTATGGTTACAGAGTACACTCTAACCCTTCAGACTTTGACTGTTGATATGCACACATTTTTGGAATAAAAAATTCATTGTAATATAATAGTTCAAGGGCCCTCCCTGGTGGTGCAATGCCTTAAAGCACAGCACTGTGAAACAAGCCACAGCCACTTCAGCATGAGTTTGGTCCCTGTCCAGGGAAGTGACCCACATGGTGCAGCAGACATCTCCTGTTTCCATCTCACCCACTGCTCCCCTCAGCAGTGTACTTTGTCAATCTGCCTGTTCTGCTCCCCACTCTGTCTCTGGTGAATCCTCTTACTGCCCCTGCCCCTCTGGCCTGTACCCAGTTCTGTATGCATAAATAAATAAATCTTTAAAAAAATATATATGTAGCGGGGATTACAATTGAGATGGAAAAAAATGTACAACATGATGTAAAAATAAACTGGTATAAAATATATATATGTATATATACACACACACATATATAATAGAAACATCTAGAAAAGCAAGGGAAAGAACAACTTTGGCAGAAAATCTTATTTTATCATTTTATGCTCTGTTTGTTGTTAATGTTAGAAAATAAATGGTATGCAACCCAAGCTGTGCAGTCTAGGGGGGAGGAAATGCTGACTGTGCAGTGCTCACGTGGGGCTCCTGTCACATCTCACTGCTTTGGGCTGGTTCTTCTTCAGCAAGAGAACTGCAAGGTTGATGGGAAAGTTGAATGTGGAAATTCAGAGAGCATCAGAGAATTGCAGTTATGGGAGCACAGGATCAGGTTAGAAACCCAATAATGTTTTGAGAAAGGACAAAAGTCAGGGTATTTAACAAAGGGCAGAAGATGAGGTGATGGAGGGTGAGCTAGTGGTCAGATGAAGGACCTGTAAGGAAAAAATGGTCAGGTCTTGGAGGGTCACAGAGTAACACGGCCAAGTGGAGGAGTCACAAGTGGAAGCAGGTAGTGTTCACTTATCAGTGCTTTCAAATAAGATGTTCTTGTTCTTTTTGGCTCCTTAAATGTCAGAAGGTTGGTGCACCCAAGGACCTCGTGCAGTTTTAAGTGCTTTCTCTGTACTGGCCACTTTGAAACATTTTAAAAAAAGATTTATTTATTTATGCATATAAGAACTGGGGTACAGGCCAGGGGTGCAGGGGTGGTGAGAGGATTCACCAGAGACAGAGTGGGGAGCAGAACAGGCAGATTGACTGAAATACACTGCTGATTGAGGGGGAGCAGTGGGCAAGACAGGAGAGGTCTGCTATGCCATGTGAGTCAGCTCCTGGCTGGGGTTCGAACTCATGTCTCGGTGGCTGTGCTGCGCTTAAACCCTTGAGCCACCAGGGAGGGCCCCACTTTGCTCCATTGTTTTAAAAGGTTTATTTATTTATGCATACAGAACTGGGGTACAAGCCACGGGTGCAGGGGCTATGAGAGGATTCACCAAAGACAGTTGGGGAGCACAACAGGCCAACTGACAGTACACTGCTGAGGGGAGCAGCAGAAGGGTCAGGAGAGGTCTGCTGCACCTTGTGGGTCACCTCCGGGGCAGAGGATTGAACTCATACTAAAGCAGCTGTGGATAGCTTGCAGTGCTGTGCTTTAATTCAATATGCCAACAGGAAAGGCCCTTTGCTCCATTTTTAAATGGCTCTACGAGTGTTAACTTTTTACCAGCTCAGGGGCACTAACAGCCTCATGTTACCGCCCAGGCCCTGCAGTCTCCCTGTGGTTTCCTAACTGCCTCCTCACAACTTTGTAAATAGTCCCTTAGGGCCCTCCCTGGTGGCACAATGGGTAAGGACACAGCACTGCAAGCTGGCCACAGCTGCTGGCTGCAGTGTGAGTTCAATCTCCGGCCTGGCGGGTGACCCACATGGTGCGGCAGACCTCTCCTGACCCTCCTGCTTCTCCCCTCAGCAGCAAAGTATACTTTGTCAATCTGCCTGTTCTGCTCCCCACTCTGTCTCTGGTGAATCTTCTCATCGCCCCTGCACCTCTGGCTTGTACCCCATCTGTATGCATAAATAAATAAAAAAAAAAATCCTTTAAGTTAAACCTTCCCCAAATTTTCTTGACTTAGGTGGGCCTCATGAGGCCTTGCCTACTGGGTCCTGATCGATATAACCACTTGCCCAATGAACTGCTCAGTGAAACAGCTACTCACAGCTCCAGCAGAGGTCCCTGAGAGTGGCCTAGAGAAGGGGAGGTGGCCCCCAGGAAGAGGACAGCCACACCACATACAAGCAGAGGTACTGAGCTTCCCCTCACAGGGCAGTGGGTAACCACCTGCCCCCACGAGGACACAGTAGGGACCTTGCCCCATGAGTCACAAGAAATACGTATCCAGAGAAGTCTCTAGGATTCCACACTCAGTTTGGTAGAGGCAGGGAGGGGAAACACATTGTAGGTACTTTGTCCTTTCCTCATATTTCTAGGTAATTTGCAGAACTCAGATGTATTTTTATGATGAGAAAATAGTACAGGGAACTTCACTTTGGACAATGAAAGCATGTATGCGCTGGGGGCAGGGGCTCCCAGGCAGGCCAGGAGTCCTGCCTGACCTCACCTCCGCCGCCGCCTGAGACCACCCGGCACTCAGCCTTGGCCTTTGCACTTACTATCTCTCTGCTCCATTCTACTCCTGCCAGTGAGACAAGGTGAATGAACCATCACAGGACATCCTGAGAGCTAGTCAGTGTCAGTTACTTTTATGATTTTCCTTGTTCCCTGGAGCTATTTGGCCCCACCCAGAGCCTGCCTTGTCCAACCTGACATTGAACCTGCTGCACCTGTCTCACCTACCCTGGCTCCCATCCAAGCCCAGTCCTTTAATTACAACACCTCTCCTTCAAAGCTGTCTGGCGGAGCCTCTTTCCACCAGGCTCAGCTCAAAGCAAATCTTCTCTAAGAAGCCTTCTTGTCAGATTTTCTCTCTTGCTCATCCCTCGCCCCCATCCCTGTCTGCTCAGCTGGGTTACCTGCTCCCCGTCTTCTACAGGCAAACCATAACTGAGGGCACAATTTCTTACTAGATATGTGTGTCCCACAGCTTATACTGAGGGCCTCCTAAGGACTGTCTATAACTGATGTCAACAGTCTGATACCATGCTAAGCTGTTGAGAAGTGAGTCTTGCCTTTCTTTGGGGTGGAGAGACCATACCTCCCACATCTAAGCAAGTAACCTCTCCAGGCTGGAGGAGGCAGGAGGGGCTGTTACATTGGCTATGGGATTGTAGTTTAAAATAACCAGGAGAGAGGCCTGAGAAACGGAGCAAGACTAACAATAACTGGAGTTAAGTGTGACAGGGTGGTCCCCAGGAAAGGGGAGGTTCCAGGTTTCCTGCCCCACCCAGAAGGAGGGCGGAGCTGAGCTGAGCAGGGGGAAGAATCTGGAGAGGAGACTGAGGAGGAAGGAAGCAGGATGGAGAGCCAGAAGGAGACTTGAGGGAGGGACATGGAGCAGAGACACGTGAAGAAACTGCACTTGCTTCTTCTTTGTCCTGGACTGGTTGAAACGTGGGTGAGAGACCCGGGGGAGGTTGACTATGGCAGCGTTTATCTTGATTTTGATTTTGCTTTTTTCCTCCCAGACTTGTCTGCCCATTCCTGACCCTTTTTCATGCCTCCCCCCCCCACCTTACCCCGAAGGTGCTTTAGACTTGTGGTGGGCTTTCAGGCCTTGCTTTTCACCAATCCCTTTTGGGTGGACTTTTTACCCATGAGAGGACAGGTAGCTTTGGGTCCTTGATTTAGAAACTATATTCCTTGTCTTTCTGTATTGCACACTGATTGTATTAAAGTTTGTTTCCATTAAAGGTCTTATATGTTTTGTCTTGATGTGGTGGATAGCAGAACCTATTTAGAGTGGGCAGGTTTGGGGGTTCAGGGGTGTCCCTCTGCCTGCTCAGTAACACTTTCTCCTGGATTTCCAGGATGCTGGCAAAGTTATAGGGGCACAGGAATCTCATTTTCCCTCCCTACATGGCTCAGGTTGTCTCCCACAGGACCTATATTCCAAGTTCCACTAGCTATTGCATTTTGCCGGGGAAGAAAGCCGGTGAGCCATCCCAGGGGCTCCCTCCTCTGCTGCTGCCCGGAAGCCACAGCAGCTGGCAAGGGAGGAGCATCATCCTCATCAGCCAGCCTGACAGTTTTGTCCACAGCCATCTTCGGAGTGTCAAACGCATGTCTGCAGAGCAGGACCAACCTGTCTTTCTTTCCCTGGACATTACCCTCTCTAAACACAAGCACCTCTCCCTTATTTCCATCCCAGACGGTGTTTTCTCTTTTTAAAGATTTTATTTATTTTTGTATAGAACTGAGATGCAGGCCAGAGGGGCAGAGGTGGGGTGTTTAAGAGGATTCACCAGAGACAGAGTGGGGAGAAGAACAGGCCGATCTACTGAAATACACTGCTGAGGGGAGCAGCAGGAGACAGGAGAGGCTGGGCCATGTGGGTCAGCTCCCTGGCCAGGGATTGAACTTAGCCCTTAGTGGTGATAATGCTGAGATTTAACCCCTAGGCCACCAGGGAGCTCTCCCAGACTCTAGTTTCTAATAAGGCATTGTCAGTTCTGGCTGTTGTTGGATCCTGGGAAGAAAGCACCTCTGTGGTAGACTGTATTATTGTTCAAAATACTTTGGCTTGGAAGGATCATCCTAAGTGAAGTAAGCCAGAAAGAGAAAGATAAATATTAGATGGTTTCACTGATAGGTAGAATGTAGAGAGGCCAAACAATGGGCCAGGGAAAGTCAAACTTTAAAGCCAACACCTTAAGGCTGAGCAGAGATCTGCAGCATCCAGGTGGAAAAGTCAGGGGGAGGTGGGGAGAAGGGCACAGTGGACCACAGTGGAGTTCTATTTTTGTGGTGGGAGAGCCATGGTGACCACACCTGAGGGGAGAAATCCTACTTATACTGTGAAAAAATAGACAAGGATGTAAAACAACGATACGTCATTAATAATACAAACACTTATGGGTCCTTCCCCAGCTCCTTCCCTCCTAACACGCCCCTCAGATCATACAGCCCTACCTTGTGGACTCAGGAGTGGCCATATGACTCACTAGCGTAGGCGATGACAGTGTCACTTCTCAGGAGAGACCTGAAGCCAATCCGTGTTTCTCTTCTCAGCAGAGACCTCAGCTCTTTCCTCTCCTTTCAGAGGACACCAGAACGGGCCCCAGACAGTGCAGAGAAGAAATGCAGCTGCCCACCATGGACAAGGGACAGGAGCAAGATGTATCATGTTTTCAGCCATGGAAGTTTCTGGGGCTTTGACAGCTGGGAACTGCTGGGGTCCTGATAACAGGCCTGTCTTCAAGGTCCAAAGTTCTCCAGAGGATGTACCCTCTGGAGCTAGAACCAGGGCCCAAAGCAGTGGGGACAGAACTGCCTGCATGTTCCTGGGTCCTGCAGGGCCTGGCACTTTGTGCTTGACTCTGCCACTGTCCATCCTCGGGTCATGTGTGGATCTAGTGTGGCCAGTAATATCCAGTTGGCCCTGCTTTCCCAGAGCCCTTGGTCAGGATAGTAACAGCCCTTGAACAAGGGCACAGCTTACCCAAGAGTAATGCACTCACTGCTCAGAAGTACACATAGTCATATAAAAATCATTTTTATTAAAATAGAAAAGCTTTCCAGTATATTGCATTGAAGACATTTATATAGAAAAAAGCAATTGCCACCAACATGCTACATCAGCATTGAGAGATTCTGAAAACTCTAAGTGCCCACTTTTAAACAACATTTTGGTATAATAAGCATGTCCTTATATATTTCAGAGGGTATATATAATACTGAAAAAAATACTTCATGTGAAATCTAAGTATAGGTGCATACCAACAGGAAGTATTATGTTGAATAGCTTATTTCAAACTGTGAAACACATTCAAAGTATTCAATTTCTTAGACAACATGCAAACATTTTAATACTTAGATTGACATTTTTAAATATATAAACCACAATTCTTTATAATTATATCAAAAAAGAAAGACAGAACATTTATCTACACTGTGCATATCACAAAAAGCAAAAATGTGTCTTCATGAACGGAAAGTCCTGGGCTGACACACATGATTGTCACTTGACAAATATGGCTATTCACCTTCATAATAAAATAGAAAAATCATGTATTATTTACATGAACTACTAATTATTTCACTTTTTGGCAATGATATAAATAGCAGCAATTGGTTTAAAGACTGATGTTTAAAAACTAATTGGAATCCAGAAGAATACACTTCCGGTTGACGCAAGACACTTGGGAGCACTGTCACTAGCCCTTGCACAAAGTCAGAGCCACAACCCTGGTCACCACTGACATCACAGCCACACACTGGTCACTACTGACATCTCACTCACGCTGTCACTGAGTCAGCTTGCTTTTGTTTAACACAGTGGATGTGTTCCTAAGTTACATTTCTATAAATTAGCTTAATGTGCCTGATGGGTTTACATGATAATTTTGAAGATGCTTTATCTTCATTTCATACTCTAATAGCTGTGGCTCCCCACAAAGATCCCTAGCTTAGAGACAGGGTAAGCAATACTTGGCAAACAAAAACAATAATCTTTGGAGCGGCTTGATGTCAGAAGGAATTCTGAAATGAAGTTTCTGTGACACGTTGCCCACAGTAAGATGAGTTCTCTTTCTAAAACGTATCATCATCTCATTGATCGATGATACTGAATTTGTTTTAGGTGCAGGAGCCATCGAATGAGCGAAATGTAAATCGGAATGGGAGGATCCATCAGAAGGAGAAATCTTCTTTCCATTAGTATTTGGGAGAAGGTACTTGAAGGTAGTTGTGAAAACAAAACAAAGCCGTATGAACACTGGGAGGTTAAAAAGCAATACCTAGCGGTGACAGAGGTGACGAGTGCTTCGACCTGGCCACTGCTCGGCTAGCCTGCAGTCCTGCCGGTTTGTCTTTCACAAGGTCAAATCATTCCATGGAGGACATTTTGCATTTGTTACAGGTGGTCAGTTATGCGTCCAGAGCACGTGCAAGGCCAGGCTCAGGCTGAGGAGGAGAAGGCCGCAGCGGCAGGGAGGCCTGGCCCCGACGCCGGCCGAGGGCATGCTGCTGGAAACCTGTACCTGGGAGATGATGAGGGCAGAGAGAGGGACGTGGGAAGTCAGTGTGGGGCTGTCGGAGTTGATGAGGGATTCGATCTTCTCAGCTTCTTTATTGCAGGCTTCAATCTGGGAAAGGAAAATCAGACTCTGTTAGTATAAAAGCACAGAACACAGCTATGAAAACTTCCACACATATCCAAACATAAGGAATGTGCTTTCTCTTTTGTCTATTTTTTTAGCCAAAATAACAGTCTGAATTTATGACATTATTACAAATAATGAAAGCAGCCATGGTCATCCGTTCAGAAAATAAGCAACCACAATCCATGACCTTTCCTTCCTTTACATGCCTGCACACCCCTTAGTACAGTGGTAGACATTATCTACCTGGGGAGACACCATCAAGAATACCTTAAACAATGCTTGTTTAAACATGAGGGAGAATGCAAAGACTTAAGTGAGTTTGCTAATTTTGACATTTTACAGACCAACAGTATTCATTCCTTTCACTTGAGCTCTGGAAATTTTGATGACGAACCCTGGGCCAACATGTGTGAGATTCACCTCTAGATTGTGAGGATGAAAAATGGGGCCCACCAAACCTGCTCTGGTGGACACACAGCTCTCAGGAGCCCAGGGTCTGTTCTGTTCTGGCTCTATCATGCGTGACCTGGCCAGTCCTCCCTCCCAGTCTCTCCCCTTATCTGTAGCCAGCACATTCCTCTCATCTCTGTGCACCCTGAGTTACAGCAGCTCCCTTGTAGCTGGCCTCCGATTCCTGCACTCACGTTCCACTGTCAAGTGTGAGCCTGCCTCAGCCACCCAGGAAGTCTCACAGAGACCACCCTCTACCCTACCCGGCCTTCCAATTCCTTGGTCTCTTCACCACTTGATCCTCTGCTGGTCCTAGTTTGTATCCCCACCTCCTGGACACCCCACCCCGACCCTGAAAACGACGAGATGGCTGCGCATGTGCGAGCCCCACCTGCAAAGCTTTCGGGTAATGATCAACAGGCACGATCAGGATCACGATTTCTGATTCAATGCTGAAGTATCCAAACACATCGCACTGTGGGACAGATACGTGCATGCGGATTTTCTGAAGGATTTCCAGAACAGTTATTGGCTTTTTGTTTGTTACCTATGAAAAGAAATTTGTTCTATTACCTTAAGAAAGGAATTCTTTATTACTGTCTGAGAAGCCTTGTTACCTTGCCTAAGCCAACGAGCTTCATTTGATCAAGGCACCTTTAAACTTGGGGCCTCAATAGGGCCCAGCTGGATGAATTCTAAATTTCTGTAGAATCCATTCCCATGGGGTTTTGCCTGACTTCAAAAGCTTCACAAGCACAACAAACACTTTCACCAAATGTGCTTTTTTTTTCTTTTTAAGTGATTGTTCTTAGTTCAGGTCACAGGAAAATAAAGTCTTTCTGTAAAACTATGTGTGTTTTGATTAAAATGGGGTGATGTTCTAGGTAGTGACAGGAGTGGTCTGCTACATTTCTGAAACTATCTCTACAACAGTGAGCAGAAAAGAGATGACACAGAAAAGGAAAAGGGTGGAACTATCCCACTGGCGGCTCCCTGGGGGGGAAAGGGGGCTCTGCAGGCAGGCATCTGAAACCATGCAGGAATCAACATCTGTGTGGTTTTGTCTCTGGCCCCCACTCTGCTTCCTGGGGCCCAGAGGACTTTTTAAAAAAGGCTGGTCTGACCAATATGCAGAGCAAGTAACACGCAGCAGCCTGGGGTGGAGGCAAGGAGCAGAGGACCAAGAAGCCAGATGGGGCTGTACCTTGGGCAGTGGCCTCTCTGCAAGTCACTGTCATTACAAATGTAGGATACATTCTACTCTGTGGAGTTACTGAACATTTATTAATATCATTTCAATAGTACCTGGCATAGGAAACATATTTACCTTAGCAATAGTATCCAGTTTTTCTCTGTCAAATAAAACTCTTAACATTCCAGCACATAACGGGCAACAAGCACCTGTGTAACAGAAACCATTTGATGTGTGTTCAGAATGAGGAGCAAGGGGAATCTGAAATGGTGAAATCACCAGTTCCTTCTTTTGTGTGAGCAGAGTCATTGCTGTCCTTCCCGAGGACTGAACTTTCAGCTACATCCCCTGACCAGGCCGCATAGGTGCCATAATCCTTTCTCCATCGTGGCTTTACTCCTTTAACCCCTTCTAAGGGTGAGGCAGGTGTAGTGTTAGGTGGCCTGTCCAGAGACATGGAGCTGCAGCCCCTGCCCCGCCTCAGAGCTTATCACGTGACAGGAAAAGGCTTGCATGTGTCTGTGTTTGCAACAGCAAACACAAGAGCCAAGTCACAGAACCAACCCAAATGCTCGCTGGCAGGTGAGGGGGTAAGGAATTGGGGGATATGTATTACTAAGCTATTAAAAAGATAAGATAGTGCCTTTTGAGACAAAGTGAATAGGCCTTGAGGGAGGTTAAGTTCAGTGAAATAATGCAGAAAGACAGCTACTGGTTGGTTTCTCATTTGGGGACTATAAATAACCAAAGCATGAGTATATACAGAGGTGTGAAGTTGTTCTCCAAATCGCACCATCATGTAAATGATAAAACAACAATCAAATCTGAGGAAAAAGAAAAAAATTACCTATAGTAGAGCCAAAATATATACATATAGAAAGTGTAATAAAAATACTTCATAAAATGTTATGATCTAACAATTTAAAAGAAGTGTAACTGGCTTTAAAAATAGTTGAATTTTGGGCCCTCCCTGGTGGCGCAGCAGGTTAAAGCACAGCACTAAGAAGCTTAAGCCACTTCTGCATGAGTTTGATCCCCGCCTGCCCGGGAGGAAATCCAC